TGCTTTGGAGGAAGAACATGCTTGATTTTGCCACCAGGTGCCAAAGGCAGCTGCTAAGTGTCACAGAAGTGAGGCAGGAGCCCAAAACCACGGCAGCAGGAGGAGGGAGCAGGGTGCTGGAGCATCACTGCCGGGATCTGGGCTCGGGCAGAGCCCTGGAAATATCGATGGGATGCTGGCTGGAGGCCACTGCAGTGTTTGACCAGCTCACAGCTGGACACAGCAGATAACAGGAGAAAATTCAACCCTTTTTTCCCTCCCCTCACCTCTCCTGGGCTGCCTCAGAAAGAGGAGGGAGGGAGGAAAGGAAGCACACATAATGAGTTCTGCTCCTGTTCAGCAGCTTCCAGCCCTGCATCTGCCCAGGCTGGAGGTGCTGGGGATGTGGAGGTGCAGGATCAGGGGATCCCTGGCACAGGTGGGAGAGAGCCCAGGGAGCCAGGTGTGATTCCAGCTGGGGAGGAGCAGGAACAGAGCTCAGCCCCAGCTGGATCAGGGTGGGACTGAGCCCCCTGGGGCATTCCCACCCCACTGAGGGGTGGCTGTGCTGCCCCATTAAGCAAAACCCCTTTTCTGCCTCCGGTGTCTCACCCACCTCCAAAACACATCAGGACTGAGCCTGTGCTGCAAAAACCTGACTCCTGCAGGCCTCCCTCTCCACAGAGGTAATGCACCAGGCTGCATCTGATTTCTTCTCTCCCCTTGCAGCCCTTTCACCCTCCTTTCCCTATCTTGGAGGAGCAGATGCACCCATTCATAACCAAGCAGAAGAAAGTGTGAATTTGCCTTCCCCACTGCAGTGCAGCTGGCAAAGCACAGGAGGGAAAATGATGTTTTGCACGAATACAGAAATTATCTGCGCTGATCTTATTAAGCTTGAACGGGGAAGCGACAGAAAAATAAAGGAGGGAAGCGAAAGGCATTGTTTGGGTGTAGCAACATTATTGTTTACCCTCTCCAAGCACTCCATCATCCTAATCCCAGCATCTCCCACGGTGACAGGTCAGGAACAGAGATCTGTGAGGCTGCACAAAGCACAGCCTGACTGAGGGATGCAAACCTGGCAAGGTAGCTCCTGGGGGAAGCCTCACCTGCAATTCCCAGGCAGCTCACAAACATTATCAGTGTTGAAAATATCCACGTGGCACCAGAGCACTGGGATAGGCAGGGGTGAGGGAGAAACAAAGGCTCAGGAACTCCCCAACCCATACCCTCACAGGGATATTCGTATTTATCACATGAATAAATCCCATGCCAAGGTGCCCAGGACACAAGAGCCAATTGCTCGTGCTACAGGCAGCACAGCAACTCTGGCAAGTGCAGAAAAAACAATCACAAGGTGGAAATTCAAACAGAACACAAGTCACCTGCTATCCAAACTGGGGGAATTTGGCAAGTTTCCTCCTCAGCACTCACCACATCAAGGCTGCTCAATGATGCTAATTAAACAGGTCCCTCCCAGACACAGCCTGGAAGATTTACATCCCTCATTTGCATTTCTCAGTTAATTTTTCTTTCCTCCAAGGCACCATTTGAACGGCCACGGTGTGATTGCTTGGAGGGGTGTGATTTTGCAGGAGTGCCATTTGAAGATGAAGGGCTGTCCTGTCAGCAGCCCCAGGGCTGCTCCTCCTGCCCCTGCTCTCCCACAGTGGGGCTCAGATGGGCACTGAGATTTTCTTGGGCTTGGTTTCACCAGCTGGGAAATAAAGAATGCTGGAATCAGCTGCTCTGGGTGATCCAGCTGCTGTCCCAGGGGCTGGGAATGGATCAGTCTGGGGATTCTTTTGAGAATGAATCTCTGAAATACCCAGCAGCAGTGCAGCACCAGTCTCAGAGGTGTGATGTCTCCACCCAGCTCCCAAATCCAGTCCCAAAACCTGAGACCAGGGCAGCTCCAGGGGCTGGGACAGCAGAGCTGCAACAGAAATTTGTGTAATTGCAAATAGCTGAAAGCAGCCAGGCTCCTGTGGGAATTTGTCAGCTCTGAAATGGCAGGTCAGTCACACCCGGGGGGAGGTGTCCCTGCCAGCAGCCCTCTCCTGATAAGGCTCTGATGAGCAGCAAGTCACCAGGCTGATAAGAGGTGGGAGGAGGTGACAGCTGGCATCGTGCTGCTGTCTGTTCTGCCGTGGAGTAAAGGCAAGGTCCTCATTCCTGCAGTCCCAGCACTACCTGAACATATCCCAGGCAGAGGAAATGGCCAGGGAGGAGTCTGGATGAGGAACTCAGAATGAATGTGTCCCACAAGGCGCTGACCCATCCCTGACCCAGCACCTGCTGGGAGTCTCCTTATGTGAGTGCAGCACCAGCCCTTCCAAAAGCTCCCCTGAGCTGTGTGTCCCTCACAGCCACCTGCAGAACGGGGCTGTGATGGGTCTGGGGGGCAGTCTGGAGAGCAGTCTCCAAGGTGGGGAGGAACAAAGGGACGGGAGGAAGAAAAGGGAGAGGGGAACTGGTGAGACACAACCAGCCCTCTCCCCTGGAAGGAAACGACTCCTGGGAGGGGAGGGGAGCCAAGTTCAGTTTCACAGATGAACTCCAGAGGTTGTTTGGCAGTTTGTCTCACTGTCCAAGCCCTCCTGCAGGCTCTCCAGACCCAGCAGTGGCCAGAACCACGTTGCCCAAACACCATCTGGTCACCCATGGGCTCTGGCCACGCCGAACGCGCAGATGGCTCTGACAGGGGAAGCACTGCCCTCCCCTCCCAAAACAAAGTGTAAAAACCCAACAGGGGAGCTTGGCAGTCCACAGGCAGCGTTCCTGACTCGCAGAGATCCCACAGCTGACTCTCCCATCTGGTGGCTGTTGTCATGGCAAGCAGAGAGGGGAAGCAGCAGCACAAGAGCTGCTCGGTCCTTGACACACTCCATCCTTGGCCTGATGGCAGCTCCCCAGCAGAACAATCCCAACAGCAATTACCGAGGAGCTTTTAGGAAGCAAAAACAGATTAAAAAGCTATTTGAAACCTTGAGGCTGAATGCTGAGGGAACAGGAGAGCCAGGGCTGTGTGAGCTCAGCAAACAATGAGGAGACACAGAGACACTTCTTGGTGGGCCAGTTGAATGGAGCCTGCTTGTCACCGAGCCTCGGGGACAGCACTTGACAAAAGGACAATTGCTGCTGCTTTGTGAGTCTTGGTTGCAGTGTGGAAAACCTTCAGGGAAGGGCTGAGGAGCTGATCTGTGCCCCTGCCAGCACCAGCACCAGGCACAGAGGAGGGGACAAGAAAAAAGGTGACTTTCAAGTGCAGGATTCAATTAAAGTCCAGCCACACCAGTCACAATTCCAATGGCTGGGTTATTGTCTTGCCTTGCCGGAGGATTTGGAGAGTATCTACAAAAAAAACCTTTTTTTACTGTTTCACAAATGGCAAGGAGTTGTTAGTGAGCAAAAGCTTTATTGTTTCCAGTAGGAAAACACCACATAAAAGTTGTTAGGGGTGGAGATGAGAACAAGAAAATAATAAACACAAATGACCAGAGCAGACTAAGCACATTCACTGAGCTCTTCTTGCCCACATTGAGCTGGCTCAAAAGACAGGTACAGGTTTAGGATAATATTCCAACAAAAGCCACAAAACACAACCAAGAGAATCACCACAAAGGGAAAAGTGGTCTTCAAAATAAAACAGTGCACAAAGCTGCAGATGTTCCTCTTTCAATTGTGCCTGGATCACATTGTCCAGGACCAGATCCTTCCCTCTATCCAAGGAGTTTTCCCACAGCAGATTGAACAATTCTGGTTCAAACTCAGGTGGAATTACCCCATGGAGTTAAAACACAGAAGTAAGAAAGAAAGTAAGTAAGAAAGAAAAGGTTTCAGTCTCACTAGCACCAGAGCAACATCAAATTTATCTCTGAGAGTGTTTTATAAAAGCTGGCCTCAGTTAAAAATCAAGCTGATGCCTCACAGTGGCACAGCAAGGATTGCCAGGCTCCTGTGCAGAGCTGGCACCCCTTGGTGTGGGAAATGAGAGTGGGAATGGGGACACGAGTGACCTGCCTGCCCTGCCCTGGAGTGAAGAACAGGGGACCCAAGGAGAGCTAGAAATGACACTCCCAATTTTAAAAGCTCTTCCCAACTCAGTGTAGAGCTGGTGATGAGAAAGGAAGAGCTTTAAAGAAAACAGAGTCAATTCCTAAAAGTCTTTTCCCTTCTCCTTCTGCTGTGGAATTAACTTTGGCTGGCAGGCCAGGCTGTCTGAGGCGCTGCAGTAACGAGCAAGACAAGCCTCACCTGGACTGCCAAAAGCTTCAAGGCAAAACAGAACTCTTTTTGGTGCCTAAACACAGCGGAAACTGAAGACCCTACAGGCCTAAACACACTGGAAACTGAAGACCCTACAGCTCTGAGAAGAAACAGCCCTGAAACCACACCAGCACTTCAGCAAAAGCTGACAGCTGGAGCTCCTCTCTCAGACACAGCTGATGGTTTTGGCATTACCCATTCCACAGATGCAGTTAATGGCCAGGTTAACAGCAGACCACGCCACAAAACATCCCTCAGTGGAGAACAGCCTCATCCCTTGCTCTCTCCAACACTGATGGTGTGGACCTCACACTCAGTGGTTTCTTTTTCTGCCATCTCAGGGAGCCCAGGGGCTCCAAAGGTTTTGTTTCCATTTGTGAAAGGGCAGGAACAGACCACAGAGGAAGGGCTGGAAGCATTTCACCAGCAAGCTGCCACAGCACATGAACTGGGGCAGCAGTGAGGGAATGGCCCTCTGTTGGCCATGCTCATTTGGAAAGCAAGTCAGGGATTGATTTCCCATCTCCTGCCCGAGTGTTCCAGCACCCAATCTCATTTATCTTCATACTGCAGCCATTTGTAAGAACACACACTACATGCACACAAAGTGCCCCAGAGCAAAGAAAAACAGAACAAAAGAGAAATAACCAGGGGAAAGGCTGACATTAATGGGCACAAATTGCCTTTAACTCCGTGATTTCAGAGGGAACTTTTTGGAATCCTTTGTTTCTTTCCTTTGTTTCTTCATAATACACAGGTCAGCTCCAAAGCATTTCATAAAATCCACAGACTCCCAGTGTGGGTTTTGTTCAGGCCTTCAAAGATCTAATTGCTCTAGAGACGTGAGGTAATTTGATTTTTCCCATCTGTCAGGCCTTAGAGGGAAATTGTCCATTCTGGAGGATAAGCAGGACCAGGGCACACAGTTTTCAACAGCCTGACTCATGATGACACCACCAGAGTCAGCCAGATGCTCAAGACTTCCAGGAAAAAGGCAAAAGAAAGGCCCTTGCTCATGTAAGGTGTGCACGTGGGAGGGGAATCTGCAGAGCTTTGCAGGATAAAGTCATTTGAAAGCTTTTATCCCATTTGGGCACTCACAGCCAGCTGGGCTGGGACAAACACATGTCCCCTGACCCCCACCCTCCCACGAGCCAAGGGGAGTGAAAAAATCACAGCAAACTCCTTGGAGGGTTCCTTTACCCTGAGCAGAGAGGCAGGGAACAGGAGCACAGCTTCACCAGGTTCATCATCAGGAGCTTCTGGCTCCTGAAGCCCCCTCCAAACTCCAACCAGAACAAAACAACGCCAGCAAACACAAGGAGCACCTTCCCCACGGGATCCATGGGCAAATCCCAGCCCCAGGCTCTCTGCTGGGGCTCTCAGAGGACTGGCAGGGGCTGTCCCAGCTGCCACCGTGCTGCCAGTGCCTGGCACAACGTCACCACTGGCAGCAGCTCCTGTCTGGAGTGGGATCTGAGGAGTGGCAGTGCTGGATCCAGGAAAAAGCAGCTCCATCTTCGCCCCCATCAGAGCCGTGTCCTGCTGTGGGCTCGTGGTTTGCCTTCAAAACAAACAAAGGACAAAGGTTTTGTTTGGAAAGCAGCAAAGGGGAGAGACTCCACATGGTTATTTTGTGTTGCTTTTTGTGTGCTCAGTGCCATTTTGAGAGCTCCCTAAAAATAATAAAGAGAACATCTATGCGTCATTAGTCCAGCAGTCAGGGCCCATTAGACTTGATTAAAGGAAGAAAAGCCAGGGGAAGGAAATGTGGGAAGGAGGAGAAATGAGGAGTTGTGCTGCTAGAAGTGCTCCTTCAGTAGGTGCTCTCCAGGCCAGGGAGGAAGCCAAAGCTCAGCTCTGACAGATCTGCCATGAGATCTTCCAAATCTGGGCCATGGACAGCAGGGACAGCCCCAGAGCTGGGCACGGGCACTGCCCTGCTCTGCTCCAGATTTGTCTCCTGTTGGCTGAACAAACCTGAGCTGATCCCTTCAGGCCGAGCTCAGGCTCTGCTGGGACACACTGCTCCTCCTCTTGGAGAAAGGACAGGGGAATCACAGCATTCGGTGTCAATTGTTCAAGGCACCAGGAGTCCCAAAGCAAATTCCTCCCAGCAGCTGCAGCCTGACATCCCTGTTAAAAGATAACCACAGAACCTCTCTGTGTGTTTACAAAGACTCCAAAATCCAGGCTTTTCACTTCTATCTTGCTGACTTCCCCTGCTCTTCCCTTCCCTGCTTTGTTTGCAAAGCCAGCATCAACTCCTGCCCTTGGTGCTTTGTGCAAAATGCTGAATGGAAAGTTGGAGTGAATGTATTGCAGAGGGCAGAGAAGGAGTCTGAGGAGGTGGGGACAGGAGGCCAGACTGGCTGTTTGATCAAAGACCAGAGCACAGACCTCTGCAGGGGGAAAGAAGGCACAAAAATAGGAGTTTCATCCTCAGCAGCAGACTTGTTTCCTGATATATTGAGTGAAAGAGCCGAGAGAATGAATCTTTGTCATCCCTCTATTCTGAAGGAAGAAGCCTTCAATTTAAAACTCCATAAAGAGTTACAGGAGTAGTGAAAGTAATTTATTTTTTAGCTACTCGAGCCTTTATTTGCTGAACTCCAAGGCAGGCTTGAAAGAGCTGGAAATGTTTTGCTTCTACCACTCGAGGATGAAAATATTTTAATTCCCTCAAACACGGAAAGGGGCACAGGCTTCTCCTGAGGTTCATATTTACAAATGTATTGTATCTGGAATGCAAACTTTGAATCATTTCCTAATGCTGCCACTACCCAAAGCTGTGTTTTATTTATAAGTACAGCAGGACCCCTTGGTGCTCTGTGGATGTGAGGAGGCAGAGACAGCTCAAAGCTCCTCAGCCATGAAGGCACAATTCAATTTCTTCACTTTGGGGAAAACAGACAACTTATCCTCCTTGGCAGCAGGAAAACTCAATCCCAGCGAGCCCTGAGCAAAAGAGCAGTGCCCAAAATGTGGTGAGGCAGCCAGAGAAGGGAGCAGAGGCTTGGATGGGTGGGGGTGAGGGTCTTTCCTTCACATCTGATCCCTCTGTCCTTCCCAAACTGTGCCCTAAATGCAGGCACAGGGAGGAGCAGCAGGGATTTCCCACCTCTCCCAGCCTGCTGCAAAACCAGCCCTGGAAATCCACCCTAACAAGGAACAAGTCTGAAAACATTTAAGCAACTTTCTCACCAAGCACAGGAAAACAAAAGTCAACTCCCCAAAGACTGCCATGAAGCAAGTAATTAAAGAAATTACTACCTCATTTGGAGCCTAATTACTGTTAGGACATATTTTTTTTTTCCCTTCCTACATGGAATGGAGTAGTCAGACCCACTGAAGCAAAATGTTACCTCCTCATGGTCCCTGAGGGAGCAAAGCAGACATCCGAGAAGAATAATGGAAGTGAAAATAGAAGTTAATGCTTTAACTTCAAAGATGCCCAGAGAATTTCCTGCCATGAAAATAATGCTGGATGGCTCTGCCTGGCTCATATATTAACAGCTTGAATATTTATGAGCAAAAGTGGATGCCTAGCCCAGCCAGGGAGGCACTGAGCCCACAGAGAGACACCACCTCATTCCTAAATCCAGTCAATTCCTGAAAGACAGGACATAAATCTCCCCAAATTAGAGAGAGCTGGAAGCAGCACTCCCTGTCCATCTCCCTCAGCTCTGCTCAGCCTCTCCCAGCACAAAGGAGGCACCCAGGAGAAGGGTTCAGGCTGGACCTGGTGGCATCTGGGCATCTTTCCAGCAGGTCTCACCCCCTGCTTGCAGAGCAGAACATTTCTCACCCTCAGCAGGCAGTGCCACCCCTGTCTCAGCCCCCAGCCCCGTTTAACGTGGCTCTGTTGAAGTGCCAGCTGCTGCACCACTCTTTAAGTATTAATGATTTAGACAACACATTGGCAAGCAGGCAGACATGGGGAGGCTGTGATTTGCACTCGCTCATTAGCTTCTCTCCTGGCTGCCTCTCAGACCTGATTCCAGCAGGAATCTGAGACTCTCCAGCCCCACAGCCCATGCCAGGCTTGTTCCCCACTCCCCAGCAGCCAGCTGCTCGTGGAACAGCCAGCAGGATTCACCATTTCTGGGACAGATTCCTCAGAAGATGCTGAGAACTCCATCAGCTGGCACCCATCAGTGCAGAACTTGCTGCTGATCTGAGGGGAATGACTTTGGTTTCATTTACCCCCTGCAGCAGCCCCAAGCTCGGATTTGTTATCTCCATTAAAAGCTCTCCCTGGGCTAATGAAAACCACTGTAAGATATTGATTATTTCTTTGTTTCATTCTGTTTAATACTCCCCTTCCTTAATAAAAACATCATAATCAACACAAGTGAGGATTTTGCTCTTTTTTAAGGCATCTCTCAGCATCAGCTGTGCAGCCAGAACAAGGTGAGTCACCTGCCCTAGCTGGGAGCAAGTAAGAGGGAAAAGGAAGACTGTGCTTCTTCCATATGTGCAAATTTAATTTTTTTGTAGGATAAAACGTTCTTCAGCACAATGAGTGCGTGACCTTCCTCTTGAAAGCTATCACGTCAGAGCAGGCACCTCCAGGAACTGGAGCTTCAGAAGCAGAAGGAACACGGGGCTTTTGAAAGGCTTTGAGAGCAGGTGGTAAAAGAAAAAAAAAATTAAAAATAATAAAACTGGCAGCCTCTCAACTCAGCACTCTTCTGAAACTTTGGCTCATGGGCTGAGGTTGCCTAAATCCCAGTGCAGCTCTGACAATGAGTCATTTTATGACAAACTCCAGGCTTCATTATCTGCCTCAGCAAAGCCCAGGCGGAGCTGGAGCAGCGTGCTGGAAACCTCCAAGTCCTCCTCAAGAGCTCCTTGTCCTCCCCTGGCCAAAACCCTGCTGCTGGCTTGGCCTTCAGGCTGAAAGAGCCCAGGACTGTGAGGGCAGCTGCTTTTGCAGCACCTCTCCCCAGTTCCCTGCTCTGGAGGTGGCCTGGGATTTCAGGATGCTCTGCGAAGTCGCACTTGAGAGCGGAGTTAGAGCAGAGGTGAGAAAAGAAGTGCAAAGAAAGAACAACACCTGAGGTGATAATATGGAGCAAAAATTGCTCCTGACAGGGTGCTCTAAAGGTGAAGAAAATCATCTTTTAGCAGGCTATTCTGCAGCTGAGGATCAGCAGTTGAAATGAGGAAGGATCTTTGCCCCTTGCTCTGCTTTTGGGGCAGAGCTCAGGGAATGTCCAAAAGGCAGGGAGATGCTGGGAACCCTGAATCCAGCACCCACCCCTCTTTAAACACATCAACAGCAAGAGCAGCCTCTGTTTGTTGGCAAAGAGAGGCACCCAAAGTGCTGAAGTACTCACTGCTGATTTCCTGCCTCCCTGCCTGGATTTGGGGAGCCTGTACCAGAGCTCTGGTCTGAACAAAGCAGCCCCTTCTGCAGGAATATACTGAGAAAAAGATGACCCCAGACATAAGAAAGATCCTTACAGAAACTCCCCAGGCAGCCAACCTAGCTTAACCTTTTCCTTAGCAGGATCCTCTCTGCATCTCAGGGCCAACTTTAACTGGGCTCAGGAGATTGCTACAGTTTTCCTTTTTTTAAATATCAGCCCATGCTGCCTGTCACTTCAGCTCTCCCCCATCTACAGGCAGATCCCACTGGAAAGATTTGACCCCTTGTGCCAAGCTTTGCATATGGAGTTTTTAGCAGGAAAAAGGTTGGTTTTTTTTTTTTTTCCCTTTTTTTTCTTTTTGGCCTCTGAAATAGCCTTATAACTGTCATGGCCAGGCAGTTGTTGGCTCAAAGCTACAGAACACTGAGTACAAACGCATTGTCCAGCAGTGGATCCATCCATCCATCAGAGGCAGCACCCAAAGTGGACCTGCTGTCCACCAACACCCATTCCAATCCCAAGGACAACCTGCAGCTCCTCTCCACCGGCAGCAGGAATCCACCCTCTCTAATCCTGCCCAACAAGAGCTTAAAATAAACCCCCCAGCCCAGGGCAGGCTCTAATCCAGGGGGAGGAAGGACAAAGCAGAAGAATCACTTGTTTGGTTTGTCTGGTGAAAAACTAAAAGAAAACTACAAGTTTTCTGGGAGCTGGAGAGGGAGGGAGAGCAGAGGAACAATTTTGTGCTGCCTGTTTCTGGCAGGAAGCGTGGGGAGGGAGGGGGACCACGACTCCCTGGTGCTCTGAAGGATGAACCTGCCTTCTCTAATCCAATTTATGCCTCAACATGGCCAGCACCAAGCAGGCTCAGGAAGAACAGAGAGGCAGTTCAGAGGGCAGGAATGCTCAGGAGGGAGCAGGGCTGGATGATAACTTGAGGGGTTAGTGACTAAATTAGTGGGAGCTGCAGAGAGAACACATTTGCATCTCTTTCAGCTGCTTCAGGTGTGATAGCAGCCTCTGCTTTCCCAGTCACTTAATTGTTCTGAGGTTTTTGAGGGGGAAAAAGTGTCTTTCTTCTGCACTGCAGAGTTCTGGGAAGAGCCACGCTTGGCTTTAAGAGCAACCTCACTTCAGGAAAAATGTTACTCAGTCTCATAAAGCTGCTGGACTTTGCTTTGCTTCAGGAGGAGCTCAATCTGTTCTGCTGGCTCTGCAGGACACAGAGGAGCTCTGCAGGGCCACAGCCCCAGGCTCCAAGTGCTCCTGGCCGTGGGTGCAGGCAGCTCCCACCCCAGACCATTACTCATGATGCAGAAGAAGGTTTTGCATTCAGGGAAGAAGGTGTGACACTGCGACAGCATCTGCTAACACAAAGAAAAGAAGCAGAGAAAAGCAATCGTGGGGCCACAGCTTTCTGTGCCTCTGGGAAAGCACACAAAGCCTCTGGGAAAGCTGTGCTCCCAGGGAATCCAGCCCCAAAAAAGCAGGGATGTGCCCCGAGGAGGGGTGTAGCTTACCAGGGGTGCTGGCGTCGCTGTGGCGCCTGCCCGAGGCTCGGTCACTCCGGCCGCTCTCCGTGGGGCTGAGCTCGGCTCCCTGCTCGCTGCCCAGGCTGCTGTGGCTCCCCCACACCTGGGGGCACGGGGGGGTCCCCAGGGCTGTGCCCCTGGCCTGGCTGGGTCCCCTGGTGGGTGCTGCAGGGACAGGACAGAGATGCTGCTGAGGGCGTGGGAAGCGGGTGTTGTTGGGGAAGATGAAACAGGAAAGCCTTATAAATGTGATTGCCTGGCAAAAGATTTTGAGAATATGGAAACTATAAGTGAGATTTAAATGAGAGCAGGCTTTGAGATATCTTAGTTACTGAACAACTGGAAAGCAATGGTATGGCTGGCTGAAGGTAATCCCCTTTTGATGGAACAATCCCCTCTGCCTCCAGACAGGCCCAAGGGTCAGAGCACACCCTACTAGCTGGGCAGAAGGGGCCCAAAGAGCAGTTTTTAGGGTTTAAAATGTAACACAGTATGGTAATGTAATGATTCTTATAGGCTGTATGTAAATGCTGTAGGATTTGTATCTTGTACTAGATTGGCTAGTGAGAATTAGAATATTCAACACAGAAGAAGATTTATGGTATTGTAACGGGAACCTTTGGTTCATTCTCTCTTTACCACGCTCTTGCATTCATTCTCTTCACTCTTCCTCGCTCTCTCATTCTCTCCACCACTCTTTTACCTCTCTCTTTGGGGCCTGCTCAGAGCTGTGGCTGCAGCTCCCAGCAGGGCCCTGCACCCAGGCCCTCTGCAATAAACCACAGTTCCCTCTGCAATAAACCACAGTTCCCTCTGCAATAAACCACACGTTCCCGAGATCCCTTGTCTCGTCTGTCCTGACTGTCCTACCCTGCCACTCCTGCAGGCTGTGGGCACTGAGCTGGGTCCTACAGGAGCAGGAACATCCCAGCTCCAGCCAGGAGCCCTCAGGAGCAGGGTCAGCCCCAGGTCTGCTGCTCTGCTCCCAGGAAACACCAGTGATCCCAGTGCTGTGAAGCCAGGGGTGAGGAGCTGGCCAGGGATCTGGTGGCAGCAGCTGTCACATTCACATTCTCTGAAAAATCCCTTTGCCCAGGATTTTTCTCCTGGGAAGCTGAGAAGCCTCAGAGAAAAAGGAAAACAATAATTATCTCATTTGCTTCTCCTGTGTTTTGCTCCTTTGGAATGTGTTTGGAGATTGTTTACCAACAGGTGACTGTTCCCTTGGTTCCATGTGAATTGTTTTGTCTCTTTGGCCAACCAGTGCCAAGCTGTGTCAGGACTCTGGAAAGAGCCACAAGTTTTCATTATTATCCTTTTAGTCTTCTGTCTGTATCCTTTCTGTATTCTTTAGTATAGTTTAGTATAATATAATATAATATAATATAATATAATATAATATAATATAATAATAAATTAGGCTTCTGAGAACATGGAGTCAGATTCATCACTCCTCCCTGCCACGAGGGACCAGCAAATACAATAAGGAGCAGCTCCCAGCTGCTGGAATGCTGCAGGCCATGGAAGGAGCCAGGGAGAAATCCCAGGGAGAAAAGCTCAGACCCTCACCCAGCACAGCAGGCAGGGCAGGAGAGCAGCTGAGCCAAGAGCCAAACACTGGAGCACTTTTCACCTCCCACCCTCCAGCCACAAGGAACTGCAGCTCCTCACCCATTCCTGCTTGGAGCTTCCTCCCTTGAGAGCCTTTGGATCCCACGGGTTTGTCATCCAGGCTGGAGGAGCTGAGCTCTGAGTCGCTCTCGCTGTCACTGGAAACCACTGCAGGGAAGACCAGGGGGAGGAGAGGAGAGAGCCACTTATCCACAACGTCCACAAACACTTCCCAGAGAGCCGCCAGATGGATGCAAGTCAAACAGGAACCAACTCTGACTCCCTGCTCACCTGCTCCCTCTCCAAAGGAGACCCCACCTGCAGGTCCCCCACAGCTGCATGATGTGGTTTTACTCCTTGCAGATGACTGATAACTCTGGAAGGTGCAGACACCCCCAGGGCTTCTCTCCTAAAGCTGACAGGGACCATGAGGGTGCTCCTGTGCCACTCTCTGCTCCCACTGACCCATCCCAGCACCCCAGCAAGCCCCCTCCTCCTGGTATTTGCTGCCTCCCAGCCCAAGTGACCCTCTAAGGGATGGTGCAGGGCTGGTTCCTGCTCAGCTGCACCTGCTCCACCCCTGGGTGATGTGGGCAGAGGGGCTGTTCCCCTCCAAGCTGCATTTCCAGTGTGGCAGGATCTAAGAGGAAAACACCAGATAAATCCTGAGCACATCCAGCCATCCCCATCAGCAAATTCTGTTACTCCAGCATCCCCAAAGCTCCAAAGGGTCACTGCTTTTCCTCAAGGAGCCTCTTTTCCTGTCTCAAAGCTGCTTTTTTTCCTCTGTGTTTTTCTTCCCCCTGAATCCTGGCTCTCTTCCTGCTGCTTTCCACTCCCCATATTTTCCAGAAGAGCTGGAGAAGCCTCGTTTTGCCAGACACAGCTTCCCAAACTGGCAGGTTCTTTCCACTTTTCCATGCAATTATGCAAACACCTCTCCTGCTCACACTGGTGTAAAAGATAACTCGACTGACAGCTGCTCTGGGTAAAATAAAAATGGTGTTTTCCCCAATTCCTGGGGTTTTGTGGTGGTTTGATTGATCTCAGAATAGAAATGGTGGGGCTGAGGAGGAAGGTAATGGGAAAAAAATCTGGTTTTTGTTTGAGGGATTGCACTTCTCCATCTGAGCAGGCAGATACCAGTTCTCCTGGCAGCCACTTCAAACAGCAGGTCCCAACTCCTGGTGAAAAGTACAAAATCAGCAACGAGGGATGTAAAGTAGGTGACACTGCAACCTGCAGGTCTCCTGTGGGAAATGGAAGCCCCAAGGATTTTTTTTAGACCCACCAGGATGTCTCCAGAAGCTCACAGTGCTGTGAGAAGTGATTTTCTCTGTGACTGAACAAACCCCAGGGTTTCTCCCAGTGCCCAAGCTCAGAGAGGGGCGTGGGTGCAGGGGAACAAGGTGACAAGCACGGGGTAACACAGAGCTGTCATTTCATCTCTCCAAACCCCTCAGCACTCCCCAGGACAGGAGGATGGGAATCCCTCCTCTTGCACAGAGCAGGAGCTGTCAAATATTCCTGCCAAGCACCTCTGCAGGCACTCCTGTATTCAAGGATCTGTACTACACAAAATATTTCATTTAAAAAAAAGAGGAACAAATACCTAAAGTCATGCTAACATCTCTGAGGATATTAAAGCTGGCAGCCAGTGTTATTGCAAAGCATTATTGAAGTTGCCCTGGCAGGCAGCTCCTCACACACACCCTGCACAGAAAAAGGCTCTTTTAAAAGCTGGGGGGCTGCAATGCTGGCTAAGAGCCCTCAAAACAAAGGTTTGTCTAAAAAAACATCTTCATTACTACCTGGGAATTTCAGGTTCAGGAAAAACATCTTCAGAACTCCCTGGGAGAGGTGGGGAGTTCTATATAAACACTGTTAAAAACAATCCATACATACCAGAGTGGGGTTTTTTTCCTATATAATCCAAATCTCAGCTGCAAGACCCACTCTGACCATCTTATTGCTCAATTCTCTCAGAAAATGAAGTCCTGTTCCACTTGGTCATCATCTTTATTTTTTTTTCTTTTTTTTGCTCTCCTGGATTCACAAAATCCATTTCCTCAGAACAGCTCCTTCCTCCACGAATCCTCTGAAAATGCTGGGAGCCAGGATTTATTTGGAGAAGGCCCCAGTGAATCAGTGGAGGTGACTTTAGCTGCCTGTCCTCCTGCCATTCAGCAGCTCAGAGAGAACCAGCACAAGAGGAAGAAAATATTAATGACTCGAAGGCACTCTCACCACAGGACCAGCCCTGTCTGCTCTCATTTCCTCTGCTGCCAATAAGAGTGTCTTTTACTCACTGCACCAAAGTCTCCCTTTCAGGTAATCCTTCATGCAAACCTTCTGCTGGCACTTTCCAGAGCCCAGAAGTATTAAATCTGGTGTTCCAGCAGTTGCTGATATATCAATAAGAATTGTTGGACAGCTGTTCTTTCAGAGGATGGAACAGATTTATCCCTATCTCCAGCTGACTGGGAAGAAAAAAAAAAAAAAGAAAAAAGAAAAAAAAAAGCTCATAAAACAAAATCTGCTGAGATAAAACTTGCTAGAAAAGCAATATTTCCCAGGGAATGGGTCACTCACTGGGAGCCCTGCAGCTGCTGGCAGAGCCCAGCTCCCTCCACACGTGGCTCAATCCCCAAGCCAGGGGCACCCAGGGGATGGTGAAGGACAACTGCTGGTTTTCCTACCCCAGAGACAAATCAGGACACGGGGAGGCTGTGCTGAGCCAAGGGGAAGGAGCACTTGGCTGGGGCTGGGAGCTGGTGTTAAATGTGTGTTTTGGAAGAGCCATCCCAGCTCCCCAGTGCTGCCAGCACAGGGCAGGGCCCAGCCTGGCACACACACAGCCCTTGGCACCTCCTGCAGCTGCCAGAAACAGCAAAAGCACGTGGGAATCACAGCTCCAGCACAGCCCCAGGATGAGCACAGCCCCTGAGCAGGGCTGCCCTGCAGCACCCAGATTTTTGGTAAGCACAGAGAGCGGGGAGGGCGACAGCTTCCCGGTCACTGCAGGTGGGGAAGTGAGAGAAAATGAGGATTTTTACAGCCCGGGGTCCCACTGAGGGCAGCTCCCCTGCCAGGTCACACCCTGTGCTCCTCCAAGAAGAGGTGACTGGACCCAGCCCTTGTCCCTTTCAGGAGCAGCACAAGTTGCAGCTTTGCCACTGCAAAGTTGGCAAATTGGGTGCCCCCTTGGTGGCCTGCAGACACTCCCCAGCACATCCCTCTCTGCTCCATCCCTCGGGGATTTGGCCACTGCATCCTGCTGCTCCCTGCCTCTGGCACATCCCACGGCTTGGCAACAGGGATGGAACAGGAAAATCCCCCGGGGACCAGCAGGCAGCCCTCCTGCCAAAGAGTGCAGCAGCTCAGGGATCACACTTCTGTTTGCTTCCCACCTTCTTCCTGCACAACTCAGAGCCTGGATGAGGAAAACCCTGCTGCTCTTGCTCCCTCCTCCTGACCCAGTGCAGAATCCCACCCACATTCCAGCACATTGAGCAGAGAGCTGCTGCCCAGCAAAAAGAAATATTGCTGCTATTCTCCTCCTGACAATACATTTGTGCCTTAATTAATAGCAGGGTTCCCATGGCAACTGCTTGTTTATAACAGAAAAACTAAAGGCACCAGCAAATCCCAGTGTCAGCGAGCACAGGAGAAATACTGGGCGTGCAAAAATAAAACTTCTGCCTTCCGCCCTCCTGCAGTGGGAGCAAATTCCCAGGTTCTGACACTGATCCCTCCCTTCTGAGGGGGAAAAAGGGACTCCTGAAGTTTGTCCCATCTCTGCTGCACGGCAGCTCCTGGCATGGAGGGTGCCCAGGGGCTGTGGCAGGACTGGGCTGGCCCCAGCTGAAGAGCTCAGAGCTGGCTCCTTCAGCACATCAGAGACCAGCAGAGGGGCTGGACAGGGCTTGGCCAAGATGATGGGAACCCCGGGGAGAGCAGCCTGTCAGAGGCAGGAGTGTTAAATGCCAGAGCTCATTCCCAGGAACATCCTGCCAAGCAAGCTCCGGGGCTGTGCTCGGAGCTGCAAGGACGTGTCTGGGGGAGCGTGCACGAGGTGTGAGCTGACAAATGCCATCAGACAGGCAGGGGAAACCAGCTCAGCCCAGCTCCAGCTGCAGAGTCACCGTGGCAGTATCACGGATCCACATCTCCACGGGGGAAGGAGGCTGGAGATGTGGATCTCCACGGCAGAGCTGGGGGATGACAAACAGCAGGAGTCCCAGCACTGGCAGCTTCAAAGGAGGGAAAAGGAGGGGGGAGATGCACAAGCTCCCAGCTCCAGAGATGAATTACAGCCTGCAGTGCCCACTGAAAGCTGGCCAGAGGACAGGCAGCCTCACAGAGAAGGGCAACAGGGAAAAAAAAGCACCAGAAAATAAAGCCATAAATTAATATTACCCAAGCCATAAAGCAGCAGCCAGACAAACATCAGAGAGCAGGGACAGAGGCAGCTCACCACCCACATCAAAGCTTACCAAAGGTCACTTTGCTGTCCTCCCCCTGCTCCTGCCTGTATTTATGGGGAAGCCTTCCCCAAAAAACAGAAATCAGCTGAAAAGCTGAACTAAGCAGCAGGCCAGGCCTGGGCTCAACAGCTTCAACTCTTAATGTGAACAAAAAACAACCTCATCAATCAGTCCCTCTGCTAAGACAACTCCTTCCAAGCATCTCCTGGAGGGCAACACAACCATCTACCGTTGATCTAATTTGTCTTTAATTACAAAAGTTACAGTAGGGCTGGGAGTGCTTTCTTAACTGGGCCCTGAAGAGCAGGTTTGTAAACTCAAGGCTCCTGAGGTTTCTTTATTAAAAGGTTATTTCCCCCTGCACTTCTGCTAAGTGGAGGAGTGCATGCAGCTGGGTTCACTCGAGAGGTCTTCTCCAGCTGAGGGGATCTAGCAGCAAAAAACAGAAGGGGAGAGGCCAGACAGTTCTGCTAATCCACACAGAGAGAAAGGGAATCAAAGCAGACTGGCAGCAGCTCTGATTCTGCAGCACTCACATGCTGGCAGAGCAATTCCTAACCCAGCTCACAGCGACTTGAGGAATCTGCCCAGCAGAGCAGCAGAAATGAGGAGCAGGGAGGGAGGGAATGGGACACTGGGTCAGCCTTGGCTGCACAGTGCTGTCCAGCAGTGGCACAGTCCCTGGAGATCAGCAGGAGCAGCTCCTCTCTGCTCCATGGCTGCGTAGTGAAGGAGAAGGAATGAAAAACAGTGGGGTGAGGGCTGCAAGGAATGGAGGAAAGCAGGGGTGGAGTGTAGGACAGGCACTCCAGGAGGACTAGGACCAATCTGGGCCACCAACACACTTAAATATCAGTGAATCCTCCAAAAACCACGGAACTCCAACATCCACATGGGGAACACACCACACCTCGTGGGACAACACCTCTAACAGACAACTTCCCTGACTGCTGGGAAGCAAGAGGAGAAGGCAGCTCCTTCTGCAACCCTTCCTGGGGTGGGAGAACCAACCTTTTCCCCTGGCCCAGGTGAAGGAGCGGCTGCTCCCGACGCTCTCGGGCTCGGCCGCCTCGCCCTGCCAGGGCTGGCCCTGCAGCTCCAGGGCTCTGCTGCTGCTCTTCAAGGGCGTGATGTACTTGGGCAGCCCTCTGTAGAACCAAGCCCCAGACCTCTTCCAGACCTGCCAGAGACACAGACAGGACACCTTAACCTGGGTTTTTACAGCGAAATGAGCTCCCCACCAAGCTCGGCCGAGCCGCTCGCTCCCGATCCCAAATTCCTGCCCAGATTCGCCTCTGTCCTCCTTCCACAGCTGAAAAATCCCAGCTGTGAGGAAGCAGCAGGTACAGATGGAAGGAGGAGCAGAAGGTGATGGCAGAAGTGCTGCCTCATGCTGGACCTGCAGCACAACCCCAGTGCTCATCTCACAGAGCAATTCAGGCCAAGCCAGGTCATGTAACGAGCTTGAAAACCCCAGAATGAGGACAACACTCAAATAACCTGAACCTGCAGCAGGAAATGGACCTCGAGCACTAAACTGTAATATCTGCTGTAAGAACAGCCTCTCCTCTCCAATTTAGCTTTAATGCAGCTTATGATGAAGGCACTCTATTAAGTATATTTAATATAAAGCGTGCTGTAAGCCAGGGGAAGGGAGAAGGGTGGCAGCTCAGACAAGGAGAAATGGCCTCGTACAAACCTAATTCTTGTGTGCCTTCCAGCAGCCTGATAATGAGCTAATGACACAGCCAGGGCAAAAATAAGTTAACATAGTAAAAATATCATTATTTATTTCTGGCACTTCTGCTCAGAGTGAAGGAGATCATCAGTGTTCCCACTGCAAGTTTCCAAAGCACTTTACACACAGTTTCATCATGATGGCAGTGGGTGCAAATGCAGATATCCCTAATTGCAGCAACACATTTGCAATTTGCCTTTAGAGCTTAATGAAAGCAGAGGGCAGTGACAAAACCTGACATTCAGGAGGACACCTGTAGTGACAAAACCTGACATTCAAAAAGCAGGACAGCAGCAGCACCACTACACTGATGGCTGCCTGGTTCCCAGAGCCACCAAGAGAGCTCAAATCTCTGTGTTTGGGGTCTTGAAAGCCAAGTGCAGGTGATCTGAATGCAGAGGGGGAGCTGGGAATGTGGTTTTTAAAGAAATCCACCCCGCAGGAGAAGAAAGCAGAGCGCTGCTGTGACCCAGCACACGTGCAAGGGGGAGGCTCGTGCATCACAGCAGGGTCTGCAAACCAGCAGGTGAGAGCATCCTGCAGCTCCACCAACGTTCTCCTGCTGGGTAACCACCCAGCAGGAGGGTGAGTCTGCCATCCAGGCAAAAAGCTGGGAAGCCAATTTCCCCCAAGACTGCAAGTTGTTCTTCTGCAGAGGGGGTTTGGCAGGCAGGACACCTCAGCAGCTCCTTCTCCTCCGTGCCAACAGCCAAAGTGACCCAGCCTGGCAAGGCACAGGCTGACACAGCTCCTTCTGTCCCTTCTGCTGGCACGTGGGGACTCGCAGCAGTTGGTGCAGTGTGTCAAACAGCACATGGCAGAGCAGCACAGGGACCCTGCAGGAACAGGCTCTGCTTGCTGAGAATCAAGAAATTCAACAGATTTTGAAGTGTGGGACAGACATCTCTGCACAGAGCTCAGGTACACGTGGCCCGTGCAGGAGCTGCAGGCTGGGCAAGCCCAGGGGTCCCTGAGGAAGGCTGGAGGTTTTGGGAGCAGCAGGAGAACAGGGACAGGGCTGGAAATCGTCCATCCCTGACACACGCTGGGGATCCGGTGCACACACACCTTCCCTGGATGAACTGCTGGGGAGGAAACAGCCCTCTGGTACAGCCACTCTCTGAACAGACCTTGCAACATCTGTAATTTAATTTGAAGCACTGGAGAGACCTATTATCTTCAGGCGAGCTCCAATTTAGACACACCATAAAACCAATCAGACACAGCACGGGTGGCTGGAACAAAGGCTGGTCACCCCCAGGTTCCTCACTACCCCAAAGCAAGTCGTTACAGAAAGAGTTAATGACATAACACACCCAGCTCTGATGTGGTAATACTACTATAAAATTGATTCTCTGCATACATATTCCCTTTAAATTGGTGCTTCTAATAGAGTTTGGTCCTATTATGGCAGCAGCGAAATTGTTTTGAAATCAGCTCTGAAATAACTGCAGCAAGATGCTCTCCCCTGGATGGATTCAGTCCCTCTGGCCCTCCAGGTTGGCAGCACAGCCCGTCCCAAAGCACCAGGGATCGCATCCTGCTCTGCACATGGGGCAGTTTGAGCTCAAAACTCCATGTTTTGATCCAAGGTTGATGCTGTTGACAGCTATTGATGGCATTTGATTGATGGCCAGAGTGGCCTGACAGCAAAGTCCTTGCTTGATTTTAGATTAATACAACTGTAACAGAGCCTTGAGAATAAAATTCTTGTTTACCAGCAGGAGTTTACTCTTACCAAGGAAAGGGAGGATGCACATTAAGGTGAAATTTGTTCCCCACAGCAGCCTGAGTTTGGGTGGAGCTGGAATGTCACCAGGGAGAGGGACAGCCATGGCCATGACAGATAAATGCCTTTTACAACCCTGATAATATTCCCATTAAAGCTGCATCAAGCCATCATTGCAGCTATGGAATGACACACGCAGAAGCAGATGGGGATTTTATCGAGCATTTTCAAGTGCAGTCTGGAAATGGGACCTGACAGAGAATCACTGGGCCCTGGTGAGACTCATGTTGCTGCTCTGAGCATACAAGTGCTAAAACAAGCTCCTGAAGAGGGAAAACATTAGGGCTTGCTGATAAAGAGGTGGATCACAGCTGAGGGAATCACAACAAACACTTGCAGCCTCCCCAGAGCCCTCCTCACCAAACCACATCCCCCAAACAGAGATGCTTACAAAAGAGCTCTGCTGCAAAGCCACATTTTGCTCCACCACCTCCTGCCCGTGCCATGCAGCGTTCCCACCCTGCAGCCCTTTCCTCCACAGTAATTTGGGCTTGGTGACAAAGCCACATTTTGCTCTACCACCTCCCGCTCATGCCAGCTCCCATCCTGCAGCCCTTTTTCACAGCGACCTGGGCTCGGTGAGAGGAAAACCACCACTTCTACCTTCCCATGCTGACACCACCAATACCAAAAGGTGGGGAAGCAGCTTCCTGTGGGCTACAGCCAGGAAAAAGGCACCTGCAGATGCAGCCACCCTGGGAGGAGCTGCTGGCATGCCCTGCCTGCAGCAGAGCCCCTCTCTCTGTCCCAGCTCTCCAGCACAGCCCTGGTACTGCTGGGGAGAGCCAGCGCTCCTCAGCCTCGTTATCTGCATTCATCTGCCTTTCCATAACACAGAGATTTCCAATTACATTATTTACAGCAAGCTGCTGTCGACTCCCACATTGGGCACTTGAGGATGAAGGAAATTAAAAGGCAGTGGAATTACCATTCCGAGCTTTGTTTCTGGAATAGCAAAATCCATCGCCCCCCTGACCCCGACGTTTCTCAAGCTGCAGTGCCTGCCAGCCTTCAACAATTTATCATCCCCCTTTCAATCAGGCCTCTTTTTTTTTTTCTCCCACCAGTGGCTCTATTCTAGAGGACACTATTTTGAGTCTAACTACTCGCTGCCACCCCCAAAATAATATGGCAGAGGCTATTGATGAGTTCTTTCAATTGCAAACAGGTGCACATCGCTCCTATTCAATCCAGAGTCACCCAAAATAAACACCCTTCTCCATCCGTGGGGTGTTTTGCCAGGAAATCGTCACGCCAGGCAGGAATAACCCCAAGCTATGTTGCTTTACAGTGTTCCAAGTGGTAGGAGTGGATATTTGAAAAGGGAAGCCCCGAGGGCAAAAGGGGAGGAGATGACTCTGCTCCTCCCTTTGCGTGGTTTGTTGTGATGAACTGAGAAATGCAGCCAGCCTTGAAAATGCTGTGTAGTGGAGGAGAAGGAATGAAAAGGAAAGTGAAGCAGAGAGGGCAAATTAAAACTTTTAACAGGTCCCGGGTAGCTGACACTCTCTTTCATATTCGAGGGAGTTTAAGAAAAAAAGCTTCCCCCCCACCCCACTTAAACTGCTTTCATTATCCTTACAATTCTGGATGCGTCAATTCAAATGTAAATGTGCACAAACGCTTCCAAGACGATTTTAATTACAATGATAGCATGGCTAATTATGGATATATATATAAAAATATATGTATAAGGGGTAATTCAGGAAGGTGCTCTGCAGAATCTGGTGCTACCAGTCAAAATAAGGCTGTGCAGAGAGTTAAAGGGCTGGGCAGGGATTTGACAAAACCCAGCAGGTCCCTTTTCCGCTTCAGGCCAGGAGGTGACAGGCAGATTTCGGCCAGGCACAGCTAATTCAGCATGGGCAGTGCTGCTGTGCCAGAGGCCTGGCAGCAGGGAATCCTTCCAGCTGTGGATTTAGCAGCAGCACTGCTGCCAGCCAAGTTCTGCTGCTGCAACCTTTGCGCTGCAGGAGCCGCTCCCCTTCTGCCCCGGGATCTCATTCCTGGGGAGCTCCACTGCAAACCCACAGCCCGTGCTGGCTGCAGCCAGGATCAGCATCCCTGAGCTCCCCATGGGATCCTGCAGGATCCTCTGACTGCTGGAAGGTGAAGCAAGATAAAAGAAAGGAGCATGGAAGGAGGAAGGGAGATTCTTGCCCTCAGAAGTGAACGCGAGCGTGGCTGAATTTGGTTCTACCTTTGCTTGCAGGAGCACTAAACCACAACCCACAGCAGCCAAAGACACTGCGAAGGAAAAAACACCCACAGAATCCTGGAAAAACCAAAGGAGGGTTTTCCACAGCTCCCTCTGCAAACAGCTGGGACAAATGCCTCTGGAGGGGTGCAGGTGAGGTCTGGTGGTGAGGCACTGATGGTGTGGGGCTGCCTGAGGGCGCTGGGGGATGCTCCCTTTGCAGACACAGCCCCTCGCCCTGCCCATCCCCTGCTGCTCTGTCTGGGATGCCTGGATGCAGGCAGAATCCCAGGAAGCAGCAGGCAGAGCCCATCCCTCGCCTCCACTCTCCAGAAATAAGAGTGGATCGCGGCTCTGCAGCACAGCCCTCCCAGAAGAGCCTCCCAGGGAGACAGAAAGCAGCAGGGAGGCTGAGGACAGGATTCCCAGAGGGATCCGTGGGCAGTGAGCACTGGGCTCTGACTGGAGAACTGATGTTTCCACAGCTGGCTTTGAGCCAGGCTGGGTGATGGTTTAATCACAACCAAGGCTGCAAAAGGGGGACCCTAACCCCAACCTCAACCCTAATGCATCACTAAACTTCTGCTGGGATAAATAATAACACGGGAAATGAAGGGATGAGGAAGTGTGGACAATGCCACAGGCTGCAGCTGTTAGCTGGTGCATGGGATGTCCAGCCCCAGCAGCCCCAGATCCTGCTGGGCCACATTTATTCTGATTTACCTCCACTCCCTTGGCCAAGGTTTCTCTAATTCTCAGTTCCCAAACCCCCAAAATAAAGGCAGGGAGTGTAGGAAGACACAGGGGATGGATGATTTGATGTCTGTGTGCCCTCACTGTGACCCTTCCAACCTTCTCCTGCTCAGGGCACCAGCAGCAGCATGAATAAGAAAGGAGACAGACTTGAACCCACCTTAAAGGGAATTGGAAAATAAAGCAGAAGCTAAGGGTCGAGAGGCAAGTCGAGGCTGTGATTTAGTCTAAGAAGGAAAGGTCCATCCATTTTCCTCAGGCATGCACTTTGGCTGTATCTCAGGGCTCACAGAGTGAGAGCTGGAGGTTATCATACCCTCACACTCTGGCCACACATAACACACGCTGGACACATTGATATTCTCTGCCCACTGACCAGGTTACCTATTATTTTTTAAGAAATAGGAAAAAACCCCACAGTGGTACAGAGAAATTGAAAAAACCCCAACAGAATAAAGGAAATAAAGCAAATTTTAGTCCCTGCATTTCCCTGCAGAGCGCAAAGAATACCTGCACCTGCCTCGCTCTCTATTTTGGGATCTCTATCTGGAATTCAAAACATCTAGATGATTCAGTGTATCAAATTGTTATCAAAATCCAGGGAGCTGGAATGCTCTCTTCCTGCCCTACCCACACTGCTGCTGATAATTTCAATTGTCAGCATCCACGTATCCCTCATTTTACCTGAACATGGACTTTGGGGGTGCTCCCACACCAAAAAAAAAAAAAAATCCCTCCAATGTAAAACCTAAGTAATGCAAAGTTTCCACAACTAATTAAAAAAAAAAATTCAGCACCTCCAACACCTGCACAAACACTCTCACTACACTTCAAAAATTGATTTAGCAGAGCACCCAGGTTACACAGCTGGGTGTAGTTTGGTCTGAAATAGCTGGACTGGATTGATGCTCAAGGACCACAAGCCAAAGCCCAAAATAAATTGATGGGAACAAGTGAAAATCCATCTGTAATCACAAAACAAATTCACAGACTTCACTTCAGCACAGAGCAGCGAGCCCTGATGTTGGTGGATGCTGGCTGGCAGACAAGAATTGAGGCAGCCCATTACTTTTTTTTTTTTTGCAGTGTAAAGTCAAGGATGAAGGATATAAAAATTTAGAGACCTGCATTAGAAGTCTCACACACTGGCAAGTTATGGGATTTTGAAGGCAGGGAGGAAAACAGATTTAAAGGCTGCAATTCTGGTTATTTTTAGTGGGACAAATTATGCTCTACATCTCTCAAGCTGTATTAAAAAAAAACATTTAGCCAAGTTTATTTATCACAGAGTGAGGAGGGAAAGGGTGTAAGGGAACAATCTCTTTATGGCCAGAGAAAAATCCCACAAAGTCAGGCTCCAAGTGTGGTTTTTCCCCTTCACCCCCTCATAAAACAAAGTTGTCACCACTGTGCGTGTTTGAGCCTGCCTGGCCTCCAGCCAAGCCTCCCAAATCCCATTTTCTGCCTTTCAAGGCCCAGGGAAGAGCCCACACATGCTGTGCACAGATTTGGGGTGGGCAGGGGGATGCTGCTGAGCCCCAGCTCCCCACAGCTGTGTTTTACCTCTCTCTGCTCACTGCAGATCTTGCACAACCACAGGGGACGTTTCTGGGCTCCGACAGCTTCTATCCCACACTTGGTGCAAACTTTCTGAAACAAGGAGAGAGAAAAAAAAAGGAAGAAAGAAAAAAAAAGAGGTGGTGTTAGCAGCTCCCCACAGCCTTTGAGGGAGAGAAGGTTGGGAAGCAACAGCTCTGCTCTCCTTAAAAACCTAACCCACGGCACAAATTCCCTGTTTTTCCTGGAGAACCCCTGACTGCAGGAAGATGCTGCGGGGCTGTAAGGACAGGAGACAAAGGCAAATCCACAGCACAGCCCTTGACTCCAGGGAGAGGAGAGAACTGGGCAGGGCAAATCAAACCCCACCACCCACAGGTGTATTTGCAGAGCTGCTTTTTTATTGCCCTGAATCCTAACCCCCAGTCTCTGTAAGCAGGCACGAGTGCAGGATTGGGAATGTTCTCCTTCCTCCTCTCACATTCACGTGTTGAATCCCACATTTTCCCCTCCATCCCAGCACACTGTTCTTGATCTGGGGGCTGTATAGCAGGTGGGCATGGCCATGGTTACACACATTTCCTGAACTCTGATGGCTCTGCACAGCCCTTTCTGCTGTCTCTGCTGGCATCCCAAGCCATTTACAGCCCGAATCTCCCAACATTACATAAGGAAGCTGATGCCTATCAGCCCTGGCAGTGCAGCTGGAATGAGAAATGGGATGAATCCTTTGATCCTCACAGAGGAAAAGCCACTCAACAAGAGGAGAGCAAAAGCTTGCTGAGATATACCTGAGGATTGGATTCACACATCCCCCACACCAGGCTGCTCCTGTGCCCAGGGATGAAGGTCTCATCTTCCCCATCCCACTATTCCTGCCCTCATCCTCATCCTCCCAGAGAAATAATGAACAACCTGTTGAGCCTGGTGCACCAACCCTCAGCACGGTGCTCCCCAAGCCAAGGGGGACTGGCAGATTCAGCCACAGACCACCCAAAAGACCCCAAAACTCTCCCTCCCACAAGCCAAACCCCGAGGGAGCAGCTCAGCCTGGAATCCCCTCAAAAATCCCAATCCCCACACGGATAGCACATTCAAACGCTCCCTCTAGTGGAAATTCCCAACCGATTTTACTCCCAGCCACAAATTCTGAAAAACCCCAACATTAAAACGGTGTTTTCCTCCTCTTCTCCTCTGCAGAGTAGCTGGGAAATTGAGCATCACTCAGAACCCCTCGGAAGAAGACATAAAAATCAAGGGCATTAAATGCAGCCCCATTTCTCATTAAACACCAGACAAAGCACTTTCCTCTCCCACTCATCCTTCACCTTTTACACACACATATCAATCCCCTCTGCATGGTAAAGCACCTTGGGCTTTGTCTCACTCCTGCTGTTGTTAACACATCTGGCTTTGCACACCCCTTGGTCTTGCCACAATGCCTTTATTTCCCAGATAATAAAAACCAATATTAATAGTATTCTTTCCAAAGCAGGAAGTGGCACTTAGAAGATCCATCAAAAGTGCAGAACCTCTGTTCAGCAGGAGCCATTTACCTTGCTGAAGGTAAATTCTTTGCTGTGTTTCAGGTGCATCGTTACAATTCCTGGCATTGAATTAAATGTGCTGCAATGACACGGTACCAGAGCAGTGCCTGCCAGAAAAATATGAACTTTAAAAAAAAAAATCCATAATTCCCTGACAAATTGCTTATTGCAGGCAGCACTCCATGAGTGATGGATAACCCTGGACAAGAGGGAACAAGCAGTTCACTCTGTGCTCTGCTGAAGGGTTGGCTGTTCCCTGAGTTTAGTCCACAACATTAAAAAGAAGAAGGGGAGAAGCCCAGGGCACCCAGGCAGAATTGCCTTGGGCTGGCACAGAGCTGAAAAGTGCAGCTAGTCTGAAAGCAGCTGCAAAATGCACCCTGGAAAAGTAGGATCTCACTTAAATCTACCTGGATATGAATGGTGCTGAACTGCCCAGCAGACTCCAGACAAAAGGGAATAAAATCAAATAAATAAAAAAAATTTAAAAAAATCCAGCTTTTCTCTGGGGTTTTCTGGTCACAGCCCTCCTCAGGGCAGGCTCACACTGCTGAGGGTCACTCCTAAAGGGACAGGGCTGGGAAGTGTCTGAAGCAGCCCCTGCCTCCTCAACAGTGCTCAGGGTTCACAGGAAATTGGCTAAAAAGCCCCATGGCAACGTGGCTTAGCTGGCTCCTGACAAGGTGAGGGCAGAACTGCCACGGGAAGAAGGCAGGAATAGAGCACATCCTGTTATTCCACATGCCTGAAATACAGGAAACAGCCAAGAATCCCCTGCCTGTCCCCTGACCCTTTGTTGTCCACAGTGCACAGAGACCACGCTGCTCCCACCAAACCCAGCCTTTCACTCCCCACTGCTGCTCCCTTCCACGCCCCTTCCCTAAAAGCTGCTTCCCCCATGGTTTAGGAGCCAAGGGCTCCAAGATTTGTGTTCCCTTCCCCAGGCACTGCCTTAGAAGGAATTTTCTGCACGATCCCAGCGATTTCTGCGGCTCCCCATGGAGGAACCTGCTCTGCACGAGGGCTGTGTCCCACAAATCCAGCAGTGCCACAGAAGGCTGTCCCCCATGTCCAGCCACCAGTCCATGGCAAAGCAGCAGGTTCTACCCAGCAGAAACTCTCCAGCACCCAGCAGGTTTCCTCACCTCGCCACAGGTGACACGCTGGCATGAAGGAACTCCCAGAGGGGAGTCCCCGGGGAAGATGGGCTTCAAGAGCAGGAAAAGCAGCCTCCCAGCAGAGGCAGGAGGAGGTGGTTGCCTTGGAGATCATAATCTCCACAGCAATACAGATTAACCCCTCAGCTGTGGAGCCAAGAGCAGCAGGAACCATCCCTGGGGTGCTGGAGAGCAGCAACACACACAACACAGGCACTCCCTGAGGCTCAGGGCTGGAAAACTTGCACTGCTTTGGAGCTTGAGGATGGACTCGAGTCCTCCTGGAAGGTCTCAGGGCAGACCTTGCAAAGCTCACAGACTCTGTGGTGAGCTATCTCTGATGGCTGCACACTCCTGCCCCTTGTCCCACGCTGCAAACCCCAAAACTCCAGCTGGGAGATGCAGAGGGGGCTGGCACAGCCCATCCCAGCACGGAGGGCAGCTCAGGCACTTTGGGATCCTGAGGAATCTCTTACTATCACCAGGATCCTGAGGAGTCTCTTATTAGCACCAGGATCCTGAGGATTCTCTTATTATCACAGGCTGCCACAGAAAACTCAATGGTCTGACAGCACCAGTGAGAACAAAACGACCCTGCAGAGCTCTCCAGCCTCCAAGGGCCTGGTGGTGTTTTCCTAGAGAATTCTGCTGCCAGGAGCAGGCCTGTGTGAGCAAACCCACCTTTTTGCAGTCCTGGCAGAAGACAGAGGAGCTGCCCAGCAGCCCCAGCATCTCCCCACAGAGCAGGCACTGCGAGAGGCCGTTCCCCATGGCGTTCTTCCTCATGTTCTCCAGCCGCTCCACCAGGCGCCTGCGGGCAGGAGGCAGAGCAGGGTCACAGCACTGCGGGAAAAACTCGAAGTGCTCGGAGCAGGCCAAGTCAGAAAGCACTGGGAAAGGGAAAAGGAGCTAAACCTGCCAAGCTCTCTCCATTTCCCATCCCCCTGAAAGCAGCAGGGCAGGCACTGACTTGCCCACGTCCCATTAGGAGCAGGAAGGCCAGGCTGAAGGCCAAAGACCAAAATGAGCCTGGCTGTGGCACAGGAATGGCACTAACTGCTCCCTGCTCCCTTCCACAGCCCATTTGGAAGACAGGAAGCACATATGCAGGCACAATGTCTGCAACAGCAGGGCTGGGAGAGGGCAGGAAGGCAGGACAGGCAATTAGGATGCAGGGTGTGGAGAGCACGCAGAGCGAGGTTGCTCTGCCATGAGATCACTGCTTGGCAACCTTCAGGCCATCTGCAGAGGGGGACAGCAGCAGCCAGGCCATTTTTCAGCACCAGCAGCAGGAGGGAGTGACCCTGCCACCCATGAATCCCACTCTCATTAGTGCTAATGCTCCATCCACCAGGGCCCCCTTGGAGAGCAAGGCAAGGGCTGCCCGTGGTGGGCAGGTCAGGCTGCACAGCCAGAGAGAGCCATCATTAGTGGATTTATGATCCTCGACTCGGACTCTCGCACAAAAGAGCTCCTGGGAGCTGACAAAAGGCATTTCAGAGAAGACCTCGCCGCAGGAGCTGCACGGGGAGCACTTGCTGCAGCTCCAGCAGCAAGCACACAGCAGCAGGCAGGCCCTCAGGGTCACTGGCTGCTGCTGGGGTCCCCCATTCATCACAAAAACATCACTGCCACTCCTCGTTAGCCCTCGCTAACGAGCTCTGCACAGAGAAGCAGAGAAGCAGGAATCTGGGCCTGCTGGACACAGGCTGGGAGTCGCTGGGCTTTGCTGTCTCACGAACACAAACTCTGTTGGGAAATGCTGCAGGGCTGCCTTGCTCTAAGGCAGGCAGCGTGGGATGATCACACAGAGCTCAGGCCAGACCTCCAGCAGGCCTGGGAGCAAATGGGAACCTGCAGCAGCAAAAGGATGCCTGTAAATTAAATAATTCAAGCTAGCAAACCCCATCCAGAGGGCTCAGCCAACTAGAACATCAACTCATTCTCTGCTCCAGGCAAAATCCCAGGGGCCTGGTGTGGACAAGGGAAAACCTGACTGCACTGCCAGCAGTGATCCTGAGCCACCCACACCCTGGGCACAGCCCAGCCTCTCCCAGAGCACCTGCCTCAGCACCACCTGCATTTTCCAAGGACTGTGTCAGGGCTGCAGCCTCAGCAGCCCCCAAGGCTCAAAGAAAGCACAAAAAGACTCCAGCAAGAAGGAAAACACGACATCCTCCCCAATGGTCATCCCCTCCAAACAAGCAGCTTGGGAGGGGAAAACCACTGACCTAAGGGATGCTCTGAGTGATGGAGGCTGAGCCCAGGCAGCTGGGAGAGCCAGTCCTGCCTTTGTGACCTTTTCTGGGCAGGGAAGGGACAGGAGCGTGGCCGTACCCGACGCGCTGCTGCTCCACCACGTCCAGCTGCTCTGCCTTGCGGATCACTCCCAGGATGACCTCAAGCTCCTTGGGGCTCAGAGCCTGCATCTTCCTCTGCTTCTCAGTCTGGAATGTGTGCACTGACCAGCCCGTCTGGAGCCTGTGGGAGGGGGTGGAGGGCAGGACTCAGCTGGGGAGGGGAGCACAAAGCCCCTGCCCCGCAGAGCCACGGCAGCTCCCACCAGGGAATGCTGTTCCGTGCCTAAAGGCCAAAGCAGGAGGCTCCTCTCACTGAGCACATTTCCACACCACCCTCCCATCAGCAATGAGTTGCTGTGCTGCCTCTCCCTGCCCTCTGCCCTCCCTTTCTGCTGCTGTTTGTGTTTTACCACTGCAAGCCCCCGTTCCTGTGTGTCCCTAAAGCAGCAGCACCCCTGGGGCTGCCTCTCCTGGGCATCCCCTCACACAGGTGGCTGCTGGTGCCAAGAGCAAACTCCCAAATGCAGGGATCACCTGCACCCTCCTCCCTGCAGGATCCCACATCCCTCAGTTCAAACACACAAATCTCTGGGCACGCCTGGAAATACAAATTTGGCACCATCCTCCCTTGGTCTGGCCCAGGTTCACATGAGGACTGCTGCAAACCCCCCGTGCCTCACATGCAGCAGCTGATGCTTCTCCTTGGCTCACTTGGCAGCAGGCAGGAGCTTTCACAGCTCAATTAATTAATTACCATTCAGGAGGGGTTTGGAGGTCACTGGATAAACTTATGGCTGCAAGGAGGATGCACTCCTGGGCACTACTGTCTTGCTGAGGCTTTCTGCAGGCTGGGGAGGTGGCACTGGGGTGCCCAGCCAGGCAGCCCCCTCAAATCATGGGGTGTTCCCCTATTTTCTAACACTGCAGCAGCAGCTGAGCCCAGGGGCTCAGGCAAGAGCAGAGGTGGCACAGTCCCAGCTGCCAGGGAATGAAAACATCCAAGAAAAATGCACTCCTAGAGCTTGACTCATCCCCATCCTTTTAGTCCTTAGGTTGTGCAGTAATTTTAACTTCGGGGAAAACAAGAACTAATGACAAGTTCCTAAAACAGAAGGGTGCTGGCAGCTGGGGAATTATATTTATCAATTATCTTTAGGGTGCTGCAGAGATCTGAGGCTGCCTCCAACCCAGGGGAGGGCTGTGGGATGGACTCCCAGGGGTGCAGGGTGAGTGCAAGAGCCCAGAGACACCAGGAAAGCTGTCAAGGCAGAGCTGAGGGTGGAAGGGGAGGAGGAGGAGCAGGAGGGTGGGGAGGACTCACTTGGCTCTCAGGGCCAGCTGCCGGTCGTTGGGGCAAACCCAGGGGCCCATCCCGCTGCCAAAAATCATCTCAGCCATGGCCCCAGCCTGGGGAGAGGGGTGGGGTGGCAGGAATCACACCTGGAAGAAGCAAACAGAGGTGATCTGCCAGCACCACACACAGTGGGAGCAGCCAGACTCACCCACGGACAGTGACAAAAACATACCATCACCCTCACAAAATATAAGCTAATAAATACCCTCAGATACCTTGAAGGCGAGGCTGGAAGTTTAGATTTTATGGTATACTCTGGGGAGAAAAAAAAAAAAAAAAAAAAAAAAGAAGCCAGACTCCCTTTGTCAGCCCTGATTTTTCATTTCAAACTAGAGAAAAGCGTTGTCTGTAAAAATAATCCCTGCCTCCCCACCTGCAGAGCCCCAGCGCTGCAGTTCTGACAGAGAAAGCCACTCCAAAGGACACAAAGGAGCTACAGTTGCCTTTTTTTTAACCTCTTAATGGGGTAACAAACAAAAACCCACGCAACAATCAGCATGAATAGTGGCAAGTCATTTCCTTCATTAAAACTGCCTCCATAATAGCCTGATATTTATAACTCCAGCCTACAATAGCAGCTTGTTTGCATTCTCTGATGCTCAAGACAGCACCTCCTGTAGCAGGTCTCCTGCTGTGGCTCCTGTCCCTGGCATGGTCACAGCAGTGTTCAGTGAAAATTCCACTGAACTGATCAGGAAAGGCAGCAAGAACCAAATTCCAGATGCTCATGGGAGAAACATCCCCCAAAGAGACTCTGAGCAGTTCTGAGCCCCATCAGCAGCTCAGATGAATGGAAAGCACCAAGGGACAGGCACAGCCAAAAGATTTCAATGGATGCTGAACTAGGCTTGATGCACTGAGCTTTTAACCAGCTGGATTTGCTCTCCAGCAGAGCAAGTGTCTCAGAAGCCCTAACACATAAATTCCCAGGTATTAATGCTTGTCCCCAGCACAGACACTTGCCAGCTTTGAAACCCTACCTGCTGGGCAGAGATAACATGTTTAATGCTGGTTGGCAAGCAGGAACCAGCTCCTGGTTGATACCCAGGTGTACCACCTGCCAGCCGTGCTGGAGTTCCCAAGCAAACTCTTTTTTCCCAGCCTCACTCCCCAGCAGGGCTGCAGCCATCCCTGCTATCTGCTGCTGCCACGCTGAGCTCTGTGCTGCTGTGCCAGCCTGGTGGCCTTGGCCCCCTCACACAGAGCTTGTGCACATCAAACCCTCCCTGCACATCAAACTCATCCCCCAGCACAGAAACACCAGCCTGGGGCAGAGGACTGACAGCTCCCTCCTGCCAAACCCCCCTCCGAGCCAAAATCAACCAGTTCCCTCCTCTCTGGCCATCCCAGTTTCTGGGAAGAGCCTGAAAATGCAGTGCTTACAACAGGCAGGAGGGGAGAGGGGAAATTCCACACAGATTTCTTTCAGTGCAAGGGGAAATGTGTGTAAAAGAGGGGAAGGCTTAGCAGAGTCTGACTTCTGCAAAGTGAGGCGTGGGGGAGATGGGAAAGCTGCAGGCAGCAGGGCTGAGGCAGGAAGGACAGACAGGAATGTCACACGGGATTTTTTTAAACCTTTACCACTTCAGTGATGGCTTTTGAAAGAGAAGAAAACCTTGAACCCCGGCACTGACTGCTCTCCCCACTCTGCTCAGTGCCACACACTGGGTTTGCATTTCCATTCAGCCCCAGAACACCTCCTGCTCTTTTAATCTTCCTGACAATCTCCTGCGAGGAGAGAACAGGAGAACACCCTCCCCACTCCCATCCCACAGTGCTCACACCCAGGGGAGCAATCAGGCATGAACAGCACAAGAACACAGAGGCTCCCACCCTCAGGCCTGAGTTAGAAGCAGAGAAAAGCTACAATTGCACACAGAATGGCTGACCTGGGATTTTCCAGAGATTTCCCAAGCCTGTGATGTGTGGTTACAGGATTATATGCATATGTAGCCCCCCACACGAATGCATATATTAAATTACTCCTCAGCTGCACCATGAATTCCTCCCTCCCACTCTGAACACCTGAAGAACAGCACAGCCCACACTCTGTGTCCATGCAGGGCTCCAGGCAAGCAGCCTGTGCTGGCTGGGGGGGTCTTTGGAATAAAATCTGGAGCTGGAGATGAGCCCCACAGCACAGCCAGGGCAGAGGAGTTTGCTTTGCCAGCAGCTCTCAGGGTGGAAAGCAGTGCTGGAAGCATCAGCCCCTCCTCAGCAGAGCTTTATCTGCTCCACCAGAGCTGCAGGGGAGTCAGAACAGAGCACATGAGCTGAGCGTTTTTCTCAGGAGAGGCTCAAAGGCATTCTCCAGCTTGAGCCTCTCCTTTGCTTTGCTCAGCTTGACTGCACGAAAACAAGCAATGTCATGGTCCTTTGCCTCTTGTTACTCAGCACAAGCTCCCTGTCCTCCCCCTTCCCTGAGCAGCGTCTGCAAAGAGAGAATTCAAACAAAACGCAGCCTAAAGAGCCACCAGATCCCAAAAGAGTCTTCAGAGAGATTATTCCCTGAAATATTTACAGGATGTGCCGTCTCCTCTGGTGAGAGCTGCTGGTTTTCCACTTCTGCCTCTGGAAAAAGCCTGGTGGGGACACACCTCGAGGAAGGAAAGAGGAATGGGACTGCAGGGCATGGTCTGCTGGGGAAAGGCAGGGCTGGAGGGAAAGGACTGCCTCTCATGGGTGTGGGAATGATGCCAGAGGAGTGGAAGGCACGGAGCATCTTCTCTCTTATCTCAGTACAGGACAAGAAGTGCAGGGAAATCAGAAACACCCAGATAGCAAAACCATGCCTGGGGAGTTGTTTCCATGGGCTGTGGCGAAACATCCCCCTCCGGCAGTGTTGCATTTTCCCCTCAAAACTACTCCAGTTAGCACCAAGCCATCCCCTCCCTCTCCTCTCCTCTCAACAAACTAACAAAGGGTAGAAGCAGCCAGTCTCTCCTGGTGAGAGAGCAAGAGAAACCCACAGCTCCTGGCCCACCTCAGGTGCCCTGCACACAGGTGACAGCAAAGCACGAGCACTTCATGGCACAGAAAAACCTCCCGCTCCAGGCTTCTGCTTTTTACCTGAATTCACAACTAAAAGGGGAGCTCTTATCGATATTCTGCGACCTGCTTTAAAACCACTCCACCTGCTCATTCCTTTCCTGTGATGGAGGAAGTCATGTGAGACAAAACCTCATTAAATGTGAGTGCAGCTGGCTGCCCTTGGCACAGCAGTGCCCTGCAGGGCCAGGGGCATCCTGGAGGATGCAGACCCTGCTGCAGCTCGGATGCGGCTCCTTCTCTGCTGTCTCCAGGAAAAGAGTTGTACTCTGGCAACCAGAACTCAGAACACGACTTCAGTCTGGGAGGGAGAAGCCTTCCAGTGGGCCTGAGTGAAGGGAGCAGTGGCAGGCACAGCCCTCGGACATGATGCTCTTCAAAGAATTGCTGGGAAAGAATCGGGGTTTTCTCAGCAGAGCATCAACGTGAGCATCATTTATTTGAATTTTACCTCAACAACAGCACAGACACAGCAGGTTGTACCTGCCACCTCACCTGCTGCAAGAGGCTTAAGGGAGAATATAACAGCACAGCAATATTTATATAGGGGATTTTTTTATTTATATATTTATTAAGGGAGAATATAACAGCACAGAACACCCTCCCAGCCCCCAGACATTCCTGGATCATGCACTGCCTCACCCAGCCTGCAGCTCTGTTTAACACCCTCAACATTTTCCTGCCCCAAATTTTACCAGCTTGCCTTTCCAGCATGGTCTCACCACACCGAGCCCCTTCCCCACTCCTCCACCTCAGACATTTTGACTTCACCCTGAGCACACCAAAGCTGAAACTGAAGGGTTTGGCCAACCCTGAGGTGCTCATGGCACAAAAAGCTCCTCGTGCAGTGACAGCACAGCCTGCCCAGCCCTCCTGCAGCTGAGCCCAAAAAACATCAACTCCTCAGAGCCCTGCAAAGACAAAAAATCCTACACAGCCCCACGAGGAGGCCTCCAGTCAGCTTTCATTTGCCTGCCTATTTCAGCTGAGCAGCTCGTGTCTAGATTAATTTGTTTTCATAGCAAATTAATTAGATGATGACTTTTTTTTTTTTAATACTTTATTTTACAAAAATCAAAATGAAGCAGTTGGCTGGAGCCAAGCTCCCAATTCCCAAGCTGTGTAATTACCTCACCTGCTCCTAGGGCATCACCTCCCCCAGGATTCCCAGGTACCTGCTGGCCCTTTTTCCCTCCAAGAAATCAGTGTTGTGAAAAATGCTAATTACTTGTGCTAAAATTTTAGAAGTTTAATAGTATAAAAATAGTAATAAAAAATTAGAGCAATAAGAATTTGGACAATCAGAGTTAGGACAATAAAAAAGTAAAGAACTATGAACGTTTGGATGTTTTCTTCAAAAAAGCATGTCTGCTAACAAAGGATTAACTTCTAAATTAAGGATTTAGAAGTTAGTATATAATATATATAATATATAATTTTAGGATTTAGAATTTAATATATAATATATATATAAAATATAATTTAGAAGTTAATATAATACACAAACTATATTTTCATATTCCTGTATGAATATGAAAATATATATTCATACATTTTATACATGATGCAAACATTCTTTTTAAACTAGGGAGTTTTTTGTTTATTGTCAACTCCCCCCCACTTCATCTTGTAAATTATGATTTGGCTCTGTGGAGTCTGTAAGGAGGTAGGAGTTTGGTTCTTCTCAATAAGGAGGTAATAATTTTTCTCTTTGGGATTTTAGTGTCCTGTTGTTGTTATCTCTGTATGAATAATTTCTTGATTATCTTATCCGTTCCTTGAGCTAGTTAGAAAAGTATCTTTCATCACACAGTTTCTATTTCAACATTATCTTACAGCCTAAAACTATATTTAACACACCACTTAAAAGAATTAATACAGCATAACTTTCTAACACAACACATATAATATTCATTTTAATATTTGCAAAAAAGCCAACCATACAATCCTCATTTTCCACAGTGTAATCACCTCCTGCTCTGCAGCCAGACCCCATTAGCCCCGGGAAACCTTGGCAACTGAGGAGTGTTTGCTGGTGTTGCCATGGCACGGGGCAAATGAGGGGCAGGGATTGATAAGGTGAACCCAGCCCAGCAGCAGGAAGGTTATTTGCTGCAGCCACTGCTCTTCTCCTGTGGTTTAAAACCACCCAGCTGTATTTCAGAGCTGGTTTGAAGTGGCAGGAGAGTGGCTGTAAGAAATGCAAAGTTGGCTTTGAAGGTCTGGAGCCAGAGCAAGGCTTGGAGGAGTTTTTCTCACACCTGAACCACCTGGAGCTGCTCATTCACACCCACATCCAGCAGTGCCGCAGCCCCTTCAGCAGGAGCCTGCTGTGGGCACCACAAAAATGCTGGAAAATTATTTTATAAGGGCTAAGCAGAGCCAGAAGATCCCCAGCACCTCTCTCAGGTCTTGGCATTCCTTACCAATCCTCAGCGGCAGATGGAGAGACAGGAGACACAGGGACCTAATGGGATCAAAGCTGACAGAGGGATCCAGTGGGATCAGAGCTGACACAGAGAATCCAGTGGGATCAGAGCTGACACAGGGATCTAATGGGATCAGAGCTGACACAGAGAATCCAGTGGGATCAGAGCTGACACAGGGATCTAATGGGATCAGAGCTGACATAGGGATCCAATGGGATCAGAGCTGACACAGAGAATCCAATGGAATCAGAGCTGACACAGAGAATCCAGTGGGATCAGAGCTGACATAGAGAATCCAGTGGGATCAGAGCTGACTTGCAGCCCAGGCCAAAACGGCATCCAAACAAACACCACAAAGCTTTTCCAAGCTTGGGGACAACAGCTTGGCAAAGGACCCAGTCAGTCAGACTTTCCCCTGAAAGCTCAATCTAAGCAGCATCAGTGCCAGCAAAACGGGGACAACCTCCTTCAGATCCTCATTGAGACTGGCCCAGCCCAAATCAAACACCAGCTGGGAGGTGTCCTTATGGTGAAAGGCCAAGCTGGTAAAGAAGCGGGTGAGCATGAGGTTTGGAGGGGAAAACCAAGAAGTTTCCTCTCCACCAGAGCTGCTTCCCAATCCCAGCAGCAGGAAGAAGCCAAACTGCTTTTAAGATGCAGCTTATAAAGAGTTTTTAAAATACAACACCCTGGAGGTCCATGCCAGTCCTGTGAGTGGGAAGATAAAATCAGCTCGACAGGAAAGCCAACATCCAGCACCAACAATTCGTTATTAACGAGAGGCACTCGTTAGTGTGGCTACCTGAGATATGGTGAGCTAAAAAAAAAAAAAAAAAAAAAACAACAAAAAAAAAAAAAAAAAAAAAAAACACCAAAAAACCCAAACAAGTTTTGCCAAAGCAAAGCAGCCTCCAGGTGCCCAAGCACCCCTTGATGCTGGGGAGGAAAGCCAGCACTGTTCCACCTGCCAAGGTGTATCTGTATTTATCAGACTTTGGACCCATTTCCTCCTGATCCCCAGCCAGGCAGGTGCCTTATGCAAAGTGAATAATTCATGAAGACAGCAGGCTCTTTCTGACTCGAAGTTCGGGGCAGGTTGATCTGGCGTAGGCCTGGGAGAAGCAAATTAGCATCTAAATGGCCAATTAGAGAAACTCATTTCACTATTCCGATATGCTAAAAATCTGGGGAGGCCTGAGGCTGGAGGCTGGCAGCGTGGCACCTCCCAGCCTCCAGAGAAGCATCAGGTTTCTTAGAAAGAATTGGGCCAGCTTTGTCAAGGAATCCCGTGCAGAAGAGGAGCCTCGTGCCAGGCTGTTTCACGGGAACTCCAGTGAAGCAGGAAAAGAACAGCTCGTGGCCGTGGAGAAGCTCTGCTGAGCAGCCAGGCCTTGCCAAAAAACTCCCTGTCCAAAGAGCCACAGGCCTGCTGGCACATCTGGGGGATGGAATAGCTTTTCTCGGCATCCTGAGGGTGTAATACTGGTTTTAGGCACCCTCTGAACAACACCACAAACGAGGCTTTTATCACCCTGGACATCGTTGCTCGAGCACAAAGAAAGCCGTGGACTTTGCCCAGGTGCTGGAGAGCACCTGAGCCAACCTGCAGCACCCCAAAAACGCCGAGGGTGGGCACAGCACGTCGCTGTTCCCTCACCCATCACCTAAATCCCAGGACAATCCAGCCTCCCACGGGCACACGTGGCTTCTCCCACCTCCCAAACTCCCAAAAGCAGGACGTGCCTGGTAAATTTTCCACATATCCCTCTCACCTCCAGCCTCTGACTCGTTTCTCTCCACATCTTTGCCACATACAGTTAATTCCCTTCAGGAGCCCGAATCCCACCTGAATTCCCAGAAGGGCTGGGAAGGGGCGGCGGAGCTCCCAGGGCAGGATCCCAGGACACATCCCGGCCACCTCCCAGCTGCTCCCGGAGCCTTTCAGGGAGCTCTCCCCCGCCTCTGGGTGTCCCTGGTCCCCCCAAGCTGTTCCCATTCCCTGAACCCACAAACCCCGAACCCCCCAAGCTGCTCCCCATTCCCTGAACCCACAAACCCCAAACCCCTCCAAGCTGCTCCCCATTCCCAGAACCCACAAACCCCAAACCCTCCAAGCTGCTCCCCATTCCCTGAACCCACAACCCCCAAACTTCTCCCTATTCCTCGAACCCACAAACCCCAAACCCTCCAAACTTCTCCCTATTCCTTGAACCCACAAACCCCGAACCCCCCAAGCTGCTCCCATTCCCTGAACCCACAAACCCCAAACTTCTCCCTATTCCTCGAACCCACAAACCCCGAACCCCCCAAACTTCTCCCCATTCCCAGAACCCACAAACCCCGGGCACGCCGCTTCTCCTCCCGGTGCCCGGCAGCCGCTGAATCTCAGCTCAAACTCCGCCCGGAGCGGCCCAAACCGAGCCGAGTCAGGCTGAGCTGAGCTGAGCTGAGCTGAGCTGAGCCGAGCCGAGCCGAGCCGAGCCGCCCCCCGCACCCACCTGCGCTCCGGCCCCACCGGCGCTCGCTGCGCGGAGCCGCTGCCCCGGCGGGACGAGGCGGAAACGGAGCCGCACCTGCGCCCGCCCCCGCCCGCCCTCCGCCCCCGCGGGGCCGCGCGTCCCCTGCTGGTGTCCGGAGCGGCTCCGCCAGATGTGCGCTGGGAGCGGCTGGAAGGATGTGGGCACAGCCAGATGTGCGCTGGGAGCGGCTGGAGGGATGTGGGCACAGCCAGCTGTGGATGGGGAGAGGCTGGAGGGATGTAGGCACAGCCAGATGTGCGCTGGGAGCGGCTGGAGGGAGGTGGGCACAGCCCGATGTGCGCTGGGAGCGGCTGGAGGGAGGTGGGCACAGCCCGATGTGCGCTGGGAGCGGCTGGAGGGAGGTGGGCACAGCCCGATGTGCGCTGGGAGCGGCTGGAGGGAGGTGGGCACAGCCCGATGTGCGCTGGGAGCGGCTGGAGGGAGGTGGGCACAGCCCGATGTGCGCTGGGAGCGGCTGGAGGGAGGTGGGCACAGCCCGATGTGCGCTGGGAGCGGCTGGAGGGAGGTGGGCACAGCCCGATGTGGAGAGAGAGCGGCTGGAGGTGATGTGAGCACAGCCAGATGTGGAGAGATAGTGGCTAGAGGGGATGTGGGCACAGCCAGATGTGGATAGGGAGGGCCTGGAGGGATGTGGGTACAGCCAGATGTGTCAAGAGAGTGGCTGGAGGGACGTAGGCACAGCCAGATGTGACCTGGAAGTGGCTGGAGGGATGTGGGCACAGCCAGATGTGGATAGGGGGAGGCTGGAAGGATGTGGGCACAGCCAGATGTGGAGAGAGAGTGGCTGGAGGCACACCCAGATGTGCCCCAGGGCCTGTGTGAGGCTCCAGGCACTGCCAGATGTTCACCAGGAGCAGAACAGGGCTGTGGGCACAGCCAGATGTGGAGAGAGAGTGGCTGGAGGAATGTGGGCACAGCCAGATGTGCCCCAGGGCCTGTGTGAGGCTCCAGGCACTGCCAGATGTTCACCAGGAGCAGAACAGGGCTGTGGGCACAGCCAGATGGGATCCAGGTGAGGCTCAGGGGGATGTGGGCACAGCCAGGTGTGCCCCAGAACCTTTTCTGAGCTGTGGGCAGTGCCAGATGTGCATCCCAAAACAGAGGAAGAACCCACGGGAAAAATACACCCAACCATAAACAAGGAAAGGTGGTACCAAAACAAACCCCGAAAAAGACCAAACACAAAGTTTCCCCAAACCATAACAACAAAAAATACCCACCCAAAACAGAAACAAACCAAACAAAACTACCCAACCAAACAAACCACAAACCCACACAAACAAAATAAACCCCCCAACAGCCAGAAAAAGGAAAAAGAAAAAAAACCAAACAAAAACCAACCCAACCCAAAATCCACACAAGAAACAAACAAACAAAAACCCAACCCCAACAAAAAAGGAACTTTGCAGGGATTAAAAAAAAAAAGTTCACACCAAGAACAGAACAAGGGCACCTGCCAGGCCTGGGACAACCATAGAGGGCTCAGACCTTTTAAAATTGAAGGACCCAAACCTCCTGAGCAATCCCAGTTACAGATATTTGCTGGTAATAGCAGCAAACTTTGGGTTTGTGGAGGGGTAGCCTGGGATGCTGTGGTGAGTCAGCAGCAAATCACAGGAACACAATTATTCCTTTGCACCAGAACACAGGAATTCGGGCTCCTTACTGTCTAAATGTCCAGTTGATGCTGTGAGTGAATTTGCCATGTGACAGGAAGGGATGGGGGGAAATGGCAGAGGGGAAAGAGAAAGGAAGAGAAAATAAATTCTGTTTTTACTGCCCTTTCAGAGCTGACTCTTGAGAGATCTGGAGCCTCCGCAAACCCTTTCACCTCCACACATCCAGCAGCCCTCAGGGTCAGCTCAGGGACCCTCAGCCACCTTGCACCTGAATCAAGCTCAAGTCTAAGCAGATATTTTTCTTTCTGGTTCAGGCAACTGTTGAAAAATACATCAGAGGGAGCATTTTGCATGAACACAGAGCCTGCAGCTCTGTGGAAGAAAACACTTGATGATGACATTTCGCACCAGTGTAGTTCTTCCATACAGTCAATAATATAAATAAATTAAACACACGGTTCAGCCAACTTCAGGAAGGAGATAAATTACCTTATTTAACCAGCTGTGCTGGCAGGGAAATGACACACATCTCAGAGCCTGCATCCATCCTGCTGTTGAATTTGCTTGTCAGGATCCCCACAGATGCTCCAGAATCTGCAAGGCTGGGCCTTGGCAGCCGGGTGCCACAGAGAATAAATGTGACGTTACATTAAAAAAAAATTTTAAAGGCTAAATACAGGTTTTATCTTCGATAGCACCGAGTCAATTTTTAATAGACTCGTTTCTCAGAAGCCAGGCACTTCCAGTTCCACCCAAAGAACCCTTCAAAGTCTCTCTTTTATCGATGATGGATTTTGCTGAATTATTCACCAGATCACAGCTGCCAGAGATTTGAAATATCCCCGTGACAAGGACAATGAGGGATAACAGCCTCCTCCTGCAGGCTCACCAGTGCTGCTGGCAGAGGCACCGTGCATGCCCTCAGCTGATCCCTTCTCCTCTCCTGTGGCACCTCAGGCTGGGATGTTCCTCAAGGAATGGCAAAGAAGGAGCAGCTTTTTGGAGAGGTTAAACTCATGGGTGTGGTGCCCTGCAGAGGAGCCACAGGTGCTTAAAAGCAGCTTTATTGTACAGCAGAATGGTCCAAGCTGGAAGAATCCTGGAATGCTCCAGGATTCCCAGTTTGGACACTGGGCTGGTGAACACCAGGAGGTCAGGCTGGCTGGATCCTTATTTTGAACAGCCATTTCCCAGGAAAACAGGAGCAAGGAGCTGTCTGGCACTGCTTCCCCATCTGCCTGACTGCCCCAGCTCGGTTCAGCAGCCTCACAATTCACAGCAAGAAGTCCAGGGCTTTTCTCCAAGCTGTTGCTCTGATTGCAATCCTCTGATTCAATTTGTGTTCGTCCCTCTAATTACCTCCCCTTAATAAAATGTCAATGATTCTGTCCCTAATCTGAACCAAAAAGGTCTTGTTTACAGAGCACACCTGCTCAAGGGTGTACAAGACAAAGCAAATGCTGGAAGAATACTGATGCTTCACAGCAAAATCTGCTTATTTTTAAACCTGTTTTAAAGAAAAATTCCCGATTCTGATCCACATTTTGCTTGCATGGGCAAGGCTCAGGCGTAATTCTCCTTTCCTTGTTCACATTGAGCCTGCAGCACCCACAAGATCATTTCACAAGGCTTCCTTAGTAGCCCATGTGTAGATCCATACAAAACTTCTGTGCCTCTGTGGCACAGGAAAGATGATGCACATTTGGGATTAAACTGAAAAATTTAGAGAAATTTCTCTGTGTAGTTGTATTCAAAGTCAAAAAGTGCACCGGGGTTTGCCTGGGGATGATGCCCTTTCAGGATAAGCTGATCAGCTCCCAGCCCCTGCAGCAGCACGAGGGGCAGGTCCACCAGGAGAACACTGCTCCTACCTCTGCTGGCATTCCAGGGAAAAGCTGTCAGAAGATGATTTTCTTTACAGGCAGCTCAGGCCAGCAGCTCCCCCTGGGCTCTAATTTTGGCTGGCGAGTCAGGTTTTATCGTAATAAAATTAACAACCACCGCCACTTGTCATTAGCAACAAGCAATCCCCTTCCAAAAATACCGCGCTGCCTCCCCAGTCTGGATGAATTATTTACACCCCATCACTGCTGCTGCTGTTTCCTTCTCTTCTGTCCTGTGTCACTGTCCCTTTTATCCACAGGCAGGCTTTGGGGACCCTCTGGCTGCTGTCCAGCATCAGCAATCACCATCCCTGGGCAGGAGAGCATCAGTGGGAGCAGGAGCCTGATGCCACCACCTGTCCCAGTGCCACCAGCAGCGCCACATCTCAACAGAGCAGGAGAAAAGAGGAAGGGAGGAGGAGGGAAAAGCACCCAAAAAGGATTGAGCCACATGTTCCTCTCAGGGAGAGGATGTCTAAGAGGAGCATGGCTTCAGCAGCTGTTCCTGGAGTTGTGAGGAAGGATTTTCACCTCTGGAGGAGATGTGCTGATCTCCCTGCTCTGAGGGTCTCACGGCTCTTCCCACCAACCCCCAGCAGCAAGGGCAGGGCTGCACCAGCCCCAAAAACCTCAGAGAGTTGCTGCTGCCCCAGAAAATGTGCTTCCACTACTCTGGTGGGAGTGAAGGTGGAGAGGGAGGGAAAGGAAAAGGCAAACTGGGCAAGAGGAAGGGAAACAGGGAGAGGAAGGAAGGGAATGATGAGTTTCCCTCAGCACCTTGATTTATAGGGCTGAGCTGTGTGAAGGGATGGGATGATTTGGGGTCTGGTGCTTCCCCTGCCAATCCTGCAGCACCTCGGGGCTGGGACAGGGACAAAGGACAAGGGGACAAGGGACAGGGAACAAGTGACAGGGGACAAGGGACAGGCACAGCCCAGCAGCCGCTCACACGAAGGGATGGGATGATTTGGGGTTCGGTGCTTCCCCTGCCAATTCTGCAGCACCTCGGGGCTGGGACAAGGAAAGGGACAAGGGGACAAGGGACAGGCACAGCCCAGCACCTGCTCACACAAAGGGATAGGATGATTTGGCGTCTGGTGCTTCCCCTGCAAATCCTGCAGCACCTCGGGGCTGGGACAGGGACAAAGGACAAGGGGACAAGGGACAGGCACAGCCCAGCACCTGCTCACGCAGGGGACAAGGGCACGGGAGCTGCTCCCAGCGACAAAGAGGCGAGTCCAGGCTTGTCCCTGTGCCACCCTGCCCTGGAGAGCGGGAGGGAAGGCGCTGGCATGGAGGGGAGAAGGCTGCACGGAGGAGAGGGGAAGGGAGAAGGTGAGGAGGAGGAGGAGGAGGGCTGAGGGGAGATGGTGAGGAAGGCTCGGGGGGGAGGAAGGTGCAGAGGGGTCACAGGCAGGAAGGAGGAGCTGGGGCTG